GTAAGCAGGCACGAACTTGTCAGAAAACTCACGAGGAAATAAAACAGAGTGATATAAACAGCAAACTTCTTGCATCACCTGCTGGGCTCCTGCGGGCAGAGAGGATCCCCAGCGTCTCTGGAAGCAGCGTGGCCCGGGGCAGTGCCCAGCGCAGCCCATGGCAGCAGGGGGACAGGACACCGAGGGCACCCAGCGCTGCTGGGCTGGCACCCATGCCCGGGCAGCGACACCGAGCGCTCCTCGGGAGCCGAGAGGGAGGCAGCAGAACCACAGCAAAGGCAGCTCCTCGCTGTGCCCCGAGGAGAGAGCGACCCACATTCACCAGCATTATTACACCACCACCATAATTGGATTAAGCCACGGGAAGACTCTTTTATCTTGTTTAGTTTAAACTGCCTTAGCACTGCAGCTCCCCATTAAGCCACAGACAGGCTATCTGGGGTGAGCGCTCTCTCTGCCCAGCCATTTAGGCCAAATACGATTCTGTTATCACAACTCACACTGTCCCATGCTCCTTTATCAGGGCAAGCAGCTAATTACACAGCCTGGCTCACACAGGTAACAAGCATTCAGAAAAACGCACTAAATGCAAAACCCAGCCAGGTCTTTGAGGTGCCGTCTCACAACTCCCTGCCTCATGTCCTTACTTCAGCCTGATCCATTTTCTTCCTTCACACTGAACAAGGTATGCAATGATCCAAGCTGAAGAGGCGTGAGCAAAGCCTCAAATCCGCTGGTTTCCACTCCCACCAACGCAAGATGTGTGGCTCTGGAAACCCGAGGTGTGATGTGGCACAGTTGAAGCAGGACACAGAAAGGCAAGCAGATGGACTACAGGCCAAATCTTTCTCTGCAGAACTCTGCAGGGTCAGTATTTTATGATATTTCACCGTTTGGGACACTAATCTATGGGGAGAAACATCCTGCTGTTGGTTACACAGCAACTTATCCAAGGAACAAGCAGCTGTAAAAGAGTGACCTCCCTTTATCCATTCACATATTCATCTCTGCTGTACCCAGCTGCCTTTTCCTGCTGCCAGCCTCCTGCCAAATCTGAGTTTAGAGGTTTGCATTCTGCCCATCAAAATCATCCTTGCAATTCCAGCTGGATGAAAAACTCTTTGCTTCCCATTCTGGAGCTTATCATCATCATCATGCAGTGCTGATATGTGGGATTAAACAGCTGATGCGGGATCCATTTATTCAGAGATACAATTTGTGCAATACTTAGGACTCCTTCAGGATGAATGTTACTAGGATTATTAAATTTGCATGCCACAGCAGCCAGCTGTTTCTGAAAACCCCTCCTCCAGGTAGTTAAGCTCCTCTGGAGTGGCACAGATGAAGAGGCACAATTGCACCCGCACCCACACCCCTGCACCGAGGGAAAGCACGAAGTGCTGTGGGCTGAGAGGTGGGCAGCTGACTACCAAGTGACTCCTCACAGCACAGTCCGAGGGCAAGCTCCCTCTGCAAGAGATGCTGTTCCTGGCAAAGCGAAGCCTCCTTGGCACAGAACCGAAGCGTTAGCAGTGGCAGCTCAAACTGCTCTACTTACTACATCGTATCCTGTCGGTGCTCGGCTCCGGGACGCGACCACGCCAACCCCCGTGATGGGATCCATCGGCAGGTCAGGCAAGGCATCGGAGAGGTCTCGCACCTCAGGCATTATGGACTGATCCTGGAAGAAAGGAGCAGAATTAAAGGGCTGCTAGGCACCCAGGCCAGCAGAACCCAGAGCACTGAGAGCTCGCATGCATGCCAAAGTGCCTGTGCTGACACACCACAGACGGCCAAGGTAAACACAGGATTAGGCCAGACACACCTTCTGCAATTGCATTTGCTTTTGATAAGAAAGTACATTTTTGCAATGCCCAATAGGTTTGGAATTTGGGCTGGCAGCCTCTGAGACTCATTTTGTTCCTTCCATGGGCTGGTCGCCATCTAGCAGTGATGGGAAATCCCTCCCAGAGAACAAATTTCAGCCTCAAGTCGGCTGGTTGAAGCAGCTCTGCCATTTTAAGCAGCAAGAAATCTGCTCCTAATGGCTTCACGGGGAGGTTCCCCATCCACTAGGGGTGTTAGATACACTAGGGGTTCCCCCACAAGTCTTCAGTCCCATCACACCACCGAGCCAGACCATTTTCACAGAGCAGCACAGATGTCTCTGGCGCTGGATGCAGAACTGCACTGGTTGCAGGGAGCCTCGACACCAGGGAACATAGAGGAAGCACAGGGTGGGCTGATGCAAAGCAGACAGAGGCCTTGAGGAGGCCTGAGCATCTTCCAGAAGGGACACATCACCGAGAACACCAGGGGAAAGAGATATGCAAAGGGGACAGAAGCAGGTAAGACCAACCAATTTCGGAGAGATGCTGTTGCAGGAAGCAGGAGAGGACAAGAGAGCTGCTGAAACAACTCGCTGAGGAGGAGAATGGGAAAGTTGCCACTGCCTCAGCATGTGGTCTACTGCAGAGGCAGCCAGTTAGGACAAGTCTTCTCTGGCTCTCAAGGCAGGAATGGGCCAGGAAACAACCCCACACACCCCGAGATAAAAGGGCAGCGCTTTGTGTAAACAAGCGTCACTGCTGCGCAGCCAAACAAGCCGTGAACCAGTGCTGCCTAATTCAATTCCCTCCTCAGAGCATCCAAACCCCAGCGTTTCTAGGCCATGGAGACAGCTGGTTACTTACTGCTTCTAGAAAAGGCAGAGGTGAGTGCTGGTGCCAGTGGGACCTGGGTTTACACTTCACAATGCCCAGTCTGAACAAACATCGTGCTGCAGGCAATAAGAAAGAGCAAGTCTGGGCCCTATGTAGATAATAATAATGTCACATGAACAGCCAGACTACTTGAAGAGTCCAAAACAACAGATGCCAGTGAGCAGTAATGGTGCAAACACTACTGCTGGTGAACCACAGAGAGGAGAAAGCTCTGCTCTGGCACCTGGACACACATCCAGAATGCACCGAGCAAAACGATGTCACTTTGCTCTTGAGGAGCTCAAGCCTCCAAAGCACAAGAGGAGGAGCCGCAGGAGTTCACCCTCCTCTCCCGCAGGCTCCGACCCCAGAGCGGGCAAGGGGCACAGGACCCTGCTGCAGGAACCTGGGGGCACCAGCACAGTGCCAACCGACCCTGCACCACCGCCTGCACTGCCTCACAAATAACGCAGAGCCCACTGCCTCGAACACGCAGCACAGAACAAACAATGTGAATTCAACAAAGAACTTACAATCTGTTCTTCAGGCATGTTTTCTGAAGCTTTTCCAAGTCACTCTCAATAGTGTGATGACTTGTTACTACACATCAGGAGGAGCTGGGAGATAATGAATGCTGATGCAAGCTTCTCTTAGGCCATTTTGAACTGAAACCCAGGTAAGTGATGATATTTCCCAGCATGCTAAGAACACCGCACAGCAGGTTCCAACACGGCTGCAGCTGCACTGCAAGGGAGCAGATCTGCTCCCCCAGCACCCCTGGATCCACCCAACCTGCCCCAACAGAGCGCCAGCTTGCTCCGCACGGGCGGCAGGATGGCACTGACACACCACCTTGGGCAGGGAAGCAGAGGGGCTGTGCCCCATCTCAGACCCTGAGAGAGCCCTTGGCACTGCCTCCCATTTCCAGAGGGCTAATGCAGGCTGGGGACCTGCTGCTGAATGCTGCCCAGGTCCCATCTGGCCACACTGGGGCTGCTGCAGGACGCCCAGCAGCGCTGGCAGGAACCCAAGCAGCCACTAGTCAGCCTAGGCGAGGCTGAGGACACAGCCTGGGTCCCTGGCACCACGACTGGTGGAGGTGGGTGCCCCTACCTGCAGCACGGTGCTGTGGAGCAGCCCCCGCAGCCCATCCCCAGCGAAGGAAGATGGGCACCTTTGTGGGAGCCACGTGCAGCCCTGCTCAGTGAGGGATGGCATCAATCCTCACTTTGTGCTGCTGGCACAAAGCCCCTCTATGGCAGCACGGGGCACGGGGAGCAGAGCTTTGTGCCTCGCCGGGGCCGC